ATATACATATAACAAAGTATTCTGAGTGGATATAGATATTAATTTGGAAATATGAACAAACAACACTCTTTTGCATAATTTATTAAATTATTAATTATTTCGAGACTAGGTTTTGTCTCATCGTCAGTGTGTTATAATTAAAAAAATTTTAAAATTTGGAAATCTAAATTGCATTTGTGTTTTGCATTACAAGTCGTTCACTGCGATCTGCTCTGTTAATACCAAACGTCGTCGGTGTTCGTATTCTCTCCCACTTGAAAAACCATGAAATTGTAAAGTCACGCAATCTGATAGGAACGAAAGGATTAGGATAGTTGAAATATAGATGTCGTTAGGAGAAAAAATATTCTATGATGAGATGGTTGTTTATAGATTTGTTATAAATTGTTATAATTAAAAATGTATGTACATATATATATACATTTCATATACACAAACGTATATCACTAGTACCAACCGTCACATATACCAAAACCTATATGCCCATAAATATACACAATATGCAACATACACACACCATATATACATCACACAAACATACACCCACCTATAAGTAAAAAACACTCATACTCGTATTCCTCATATACATACCATATATCACATAAACTTACAAATATATACATACATACACATAATACATATACACATATACATACACATATACATACATACATATGCACATAACATATATATAATACTATATAAGTACATAAAAAGCTACAAAGTATTAATGAGATTCAGATATGTATCATGTAATATATTGGTATCTGTCCGTAAATTTCTGTGTTACTTGTATGGGCTATTAACATCGATTCTGCAATACTTTCTTTTAAATAAATCTTGTTTCATATATATAAAATATGCGGATTATTGAAATCGAAACTATGGCTGTTAGAGATAGCGTGGTCTACAAGTGTACTTTTTGTTGTAGTTATTATTCTTACTTTGTTTTACTCTGTAATTCGTGATGTCTTTCTAAATTTTGGCATGGTTTGCCCAATATAAGACGACTCACAGTTCAACAGTTTATTGTAAACCACGTCTTTTCTTTTTTGGTCGGTGTATTGTCTTTAGGTTTGTGTATATGTCTTGTAGTTGTAGTAAGGGTGACACGGATATGTTAATATTATGTTTGTTAAAAACCTTTTAGATAAAAGGTGTAAATCTTTGCTTATATATGGAAAATTCACAAAACATTTATTTTCTGATACAGACAAGTGATTTGAGCAATGTGTGGTTATTGATTGTTTGTCTAATAAAAATTTAATTCTATTTTTAATTATGGACTGATTATTTTGTAAGGGAAACTAATGAGTAATGTGTTAATGACTAATTTGATATTGTGATTATGAATTTTTGGTTGATATCTATATTCAACTACCCTAATCCTTTCGTTCATATCAGATTGCGTGACTGTTTACAATTTCAAGTGGTTGTCAAGTGGGAGAGAATACAAACCCGACGACCGTTGGTATTAACAGAGCAGATCGCAGTGAACGACTTGTAATGAAAAACACAAAATGCTAATTTAGATTTCCATATTTTAAAATTTTTTTAATTATAAACACCTGATGATGAGACAAACCTAGTCTCGAACGTTTGTGAAAATTATTATTTAATAAATTAGTGCAAGAAGAGTGTTGTTTGTTCATATTTCCAAAATTATTATATATATACGAGGTGTGTTCAAAAGTACCCGGAATTTTTAAATTTCGCGGGTCTGGAGTGCCTGATTGTCAAAATTTTTTTTATTGTGTTGGTATAACATGCCCCTAAAGTATGATGAAATTTTCAGCTATATTCACTGTTTACTTTGTCTGTGGTAGTCGCTAAGGTTCGACGTGTTTTTCTGAGCTCGCGATTTTACAATGGAAGAATTGAAAGTCAAGAATTTGTATTAAATTTTGCGTAAAAATGAAATAAAGTGTAACAAAGTGTGTGAAATGTTACAAAAAGCCTATGGTGAGTCTGCTATGAAAAAAACAAGTGTTACGAGTGGTATAAGCGTTTCCAAGATGGCCGCGAAGACGTTGAAGATGACGAACGCTCCGGTCGACCCAGCACGTCAACAAACGATGAAAATGTCAAAGAAGTGGAAAAAATGGTTATGAATGATCGCCGAATCACAATTAGAGAAGTTGCTGATGAAGTTGGCATATCAATTGGCTCATGTCATAACATTTTTTCAAATGTTTTGGGCATGAAACGAGTGGCAGCAAAATTCATTCCAAAACTGCTAAATTTTGACCAAAAAAGCAATCGCATGAACATCGCTCAGAGCTGTTAAATGACGTCAACAACGATCCAAGTTTGCTTGAAAGGGTCATAACTGGTGATGGAACATGGGTGTACGGTTATGATGTCGAAACCAAAGCCCAATCGTCCCAATGGAAGAGCCCAGGTGAGCCAAGACCGAAAAAAGCACGTCAAGTTCGATCGAATGTCAAGGTTTTGCTTACTGTTTTCTTTGATTATAACGGCATAGTGCATCAAGAGTTCTTACCACAAGGTCGTACGGTTAATAAGGAGTATTACCTTGAATGATGCGACGTTTGCGTGAAGCAATCCGAAAAAAACGCTCCGATTTATGGAAAAACAATTCATGGCTGTTGCACCACGATAACGCACCTGCTCACTCGTCGTTGCTTGTTCGTAATTTTTTGGCCAAAAACAATACCGTAGTCATGCCCCAACCTCCCTATTCACCAGATATGGCCCGTGTGACTTTTCCTATTCCCAAAGTTGAAGAGACCCATGAAAGGACGGCGGTTTTCCTCGATTGAAGAAATAAAGGCCGAATCGCTGAGAGTGCTCAAGGACATATCAAAAGTGAATATCAAGGGTGCTTCGAAAATTGGAAAAAACGCTGGCATAAGTGTATTATATCTGGGGGGGACTACTTTGAAGGGGACCACATTAATGTAGACGAATAAATAAATATTTTTTTGAAAAAACGAAAATCCGGGTACTTTTTGAACAGACCTCGTATGTATGTTATATATATATATATTCTACATATGATATGGTCATTACAACATTTTATTTTTATTCTATAATTTAATCATACGTATATTCATTTTTACATTCATACTTTGGTATAATTTATTTATCTATCTTTATAATATTCTTTATAGTATTTGCTTATTTAATATTTACAGTCAATCTTATAGATCATTTAATGTTATCGAGACCCCCAGTGCTTAATAGCTTTATTATTGTACATCTACAATGTAGTCATCTCCATTAGTTTGTTTTTGAACTTCACATAGTTTGACCTTTGGAATTTTGTTTGAAGTGATGCACTAAACCGAATGATATTTGAGATACAAAATGACAAAAAGCTTGTAACATTCCAATTATTTTTGCTGTTTTTATAAAAAAATTTCAACATAATCTTTGACATTTTTTCATGTATTCATTTATAATATTTATTTCGGAGAAGAATTTCAGAAAAGGTATAGTTTGTGTTTTAAGCATTTTGTGCACACATATGTTTATCTATATTCTGACATACTATAAAAATAATAATAATATATATTTTGTTCCTTTCCTATGTTTTTCTATATTCTGACATACTCAGCAATGTAAAAATTACAATGAAATAGAAATATATAAAACATGAGTCTCCTGTGCGTGGGAAACTATTTCTGTGAGATACACCCAAATCATACATATATTGTCTGGGATTTAATAAAATTTGCATTATATTTTTGAAGGATCTTACTAACTACAGAGTGACATCATCACACACAAGTGATAAATTAAATTGAAATCTTAGATAGTGATTAATAAATTATGTACTCTACCAAAAAGTATTAGTTTTTTATCATTTTGGCATTCTTAAACTAATACAAAAATTGAAAGATTAATTTAATTTATCTTTAAGTAAAATTAAAATTCTTCTTCCATATATAATAACCATCAGCAAGTAAAATATTACGGCCTTCGTCAGGATTGTCTTAAAGTTTTATAGAATTTTGACAAACCTAAAAGTAGTTTAAAATCATAAAAGTGAGTTTGACTGGCAATACCATTTAAAACATTTAATGTTTTCTCTTCATGTGTACCTACTTTAATATACTAATCCCAATTAAAATTTAAAATATACAACATAAACACCATTTCAAAAGTAATGTTATATATTTGTATAAATTTACAATTAAATAACATTTCATAATAGCCATATACATGATAAGCATTATTTAAAGATATATTATGGACGGAATTGTGATTCACACATTATTAATATATATTATTAATTATATAATATAAATCTAACATTTTAAAATTCTTATATTGATTACATAATATTTTTTTGTAAAAAAAACTATCCTATTGAAATATGCAAAAAAATAACATCTAAATTACATTTAAAATAAATATGTGCAACTACTGCACAAATTTTGTAATCAGTGATTAAGTTTTGGACGGAATTTATAGATCTTTAATTAAATAATTAATTTTTCAATTCGTATTTTTGCAATATGAATGAACAATCTACAATTTAATACATATACTCAATTTAATTAACATAATATATTTAAACCAATTACAAATCAAAAATTTTTTGCTTTCATTAAATTCTTTGACATATTTACTGTAAATTATTTGCTGTACAGTACAAAAAAGCAATCAAATATAATCAGTGGTAGTTAAAATTATTAAAAAATTTATTATTTGATAATACTGATACATTATGGTTTTTATGGAATGATCTTTCATGATTCGAATGTTTTGTATATCAAAATGTAGTAAGGCACAGGAAATAATATATTACAAGCTACAATTCAACCGAATTTAAAGATGCAGTGTACTAATTTATAGGCTCTTATATATTGTGCCAAATAAATAGAAAAGTTTATAGTAATATTTCATTATTAATTTTTAACAACATTATAAATTTACTTTTTAATAACTTAAATATATATAGAGAACGGAAGTAAATGTTTGTATTACTAATAGTTGGATATTAAAAAGTATAATATACTTACATCCATCTGAAAAGTAGAATTCCGAAACAGTAAAAAATGTAAAATAATTAATATTTATTCAACTGGCATTGTAGAAACTGTACTATGAGGTGTTGTAGGTCTCGAACCAGCTACTGAATGCGTTGTTGATGCATTAATTGAAGCCATTGTTCCCATCTGAAATAATGTATAATGTTGAATGTATTTATTTATCAAAATGCATCGAGTACGTGGCAAAATATACAATAAAACCAATTTCGCATTTTGTATAAAAATCAAATATCAATATAAATTTTATATACTACTTTCTATGAAAAAGCAATCAACGATATTCAAAATAATTTATATTAGAAATATTTTATTATATTAATATTTATAACTCACTCTTAAATGTGCAAGATCCTCTAACTTTGTCAAATCAGATAATTCAAGATACAATGAGTAGATGAGTAACCATCCGTAGATTGATATCAAGATAAAGAGGCACCAGCACAAAGTAATTAGGATATTATAAGAAAATATCAAATCATTTACAATTGCAAAAAACAAAAATGCAAATAATCTGAATAGTGTAAATGCAGCAAATACATATATCCACGGCAGCATCTTTTTTTCATATTCCTGCAAAGATAATAAATCCAAATTATAGAATACAAATATTATATTCATTTTTATTTGATCATTTAAATATTGTCAAATAATTTTATATTAATTTGATTACCTTCAATTTTAATAAAATTATATATATATATATATATATATATATATATATATATCACATCAAGCAAATTATGTCTATGAATAAATATTTGCTTAGGTACTTGCAAATTATTTTGCAAACCTTAATTCGAGTTCATCAATTAGAGTACTGGTAAAGTTTAAAAACTTTAATTGTCTACAATAAATACAAATACAATATCAATTTAAAATAAAAGGGCTTCTTTATAATACAAGACTAAAGCAACAGTTAACAACATCTAGGGATGGAATTAATTAATTAAATCCTGATATAGCTATGTTATGATTTATATATGATAGAATATCATAGTAAATAATTTTTGACAATAGCTATTCTGCAAAATTTGCTAGATTGTATAGAATAAATAAACTCTGATCCTAAATGTTCATAATGCACATTAAGCTTTCACATTGAATTAACAATATACAATATTTATGCCAAAATACCTTTTTCCAATTTTGATTAATCCTTTTATTATCCGTTAGCTAATTTGAGATATGAAATGAGTTTAATTATATTGATTACTAAGATCTTTTTTTACAATAATAAATATAAGAAGAGCATTATAATTACATGAAAGTATTAGGGAAGCTATTAGTGCATACACATAAAATACAATTCATTTTTTATAAAGTTTGAAAATTTTCATATTTTCATATTTTCATATTTTCATATTTTTATTGTTGAATGAATATTGTTTTGATTGTTCTTTTATTTATCTAAAATGACGCTCTTAAGTTCATTCTTTAGGATTGTAAAATGGGGCAAGTTTATTCTATTAAAATGCCTTTACCTTATTTGAATACTATTTCATTAAAATAAAAAAAAATAGTTCTCACCTTTCGAAGAGCTACTATCAACATTACACTTGTCACAAGAACACAAAATCCTCCAATCAGGGAAAATAATGCAAATACTATTAATGCATTTCGAACTAAAAATAAAATTAATGTACTATGTTACAAGATAGTTTTATAACAATCGCATATATATTACAATATTGCATGAGTCTCTACCATACATAAATTAACCTCTTATGGTTTATTATTTAGTATATGATTAATTACATGCATTTTGCAAATATTGATCTTACAGAAAATAAAGAAAAAAGTTCCTGTATGAATTTTTGTTATAAAACATTCTCAATATTGAAAGAATTAATGTTTGGTTATGGAGCAAATAATTAGATGCGACTAAAGAGCTTACAAATTATACTAGAAAAGGTCAGAGTCACAGTAATTTTTTTGTAATAACTTTCTTAACATAAATGTATAAAAGTTTGTTGATAAGTTTGAATTCTTACCATGAACACTCCCTACATAGACAAATTCGAAGGAAATTATATAATATCCATAATGCGTGCTGCCTGGAACTGCCATTGCTAAGCAATATATATCAAACATAGCAGTTGCCATTGTAAATAGAGCTAAAAACTGCAGAAAAATATATAATTTAATTAGTTTGTAATTTATTATTAGCATTTCTTTGTTATCTTACAACTGAGAATCCGCTCATCCATAGTGATCCTCTTTGAATATCAATAAGAAAGGCATCTTTCAGGATAGGTTTCTGATACCATGGTATTTTGACAGAGCGCATAGACCTGCTCGATTTTAAATTAGTCGATGACCTAAATGATAAATTATTGAAGGTAAAACTGTCTGCTTCATGTAAATATCAAATATGTATGCAAAGCAAATTAGAAGAAGATATAAAAAATATGTTCTATAGAATTTTAAAAGAATAATATAACAACATATATTTTATATATCTTTCATAACATTACGATCAAATGAAATTATCTAATTATAACTCTAGGAGACTTTCTACTTTACGCTTTAGGTTAACATATTTTTAAAATATTCTGTACCTTCCAGTCATATGTGAATAAACTGAAGGATTCGACCTATACGTCGAAGGAGTTTTTCTTCCATAATTCATCTTTAAAATTTATTTTGGGCAACCGTTATTCACAAAATAATAATAATAATAATAATACTGTATATTAAAATGTTAGAAAAACATTATCATATATAATGGTATAATATTATTACACCACATGTAATACTATATTTTCATTTAAATAGATAAATGAACAGATTAATATGAATTAGTATTTGATACGTGAGTCACTAATTAATTTATAATTTATAGAAAAGGGCGTGTGACATTGTATTTGTAAATAAGTTCAACTTTATTTACACTGACTTTTATCTATGTTTTCAGAATTACGTTCAGAGAGCTAGGGAAGTGTCACAGACTCGATGGCGCTGCAAACGCATGTTACTCGCCAGCAAATTAATGAAAATCGAAAATGAAATTTTTTGCATATCTTTATACATTTTGAAGGTCCTCAGAAAAAATGGATGTGTGTGTATGTTTTGTATGTCCGCGCTTTTTTGTCTACGTTTTCGGGCGCACGGATCGACCGATATGAATGGTTCAAAAAACATTCGTTCCTATTAATAGGGAAAAGAGCTGATTAGTTTTTGGAAAGGCAGGTCAGCCGTTACGGAGATACGGAGCAAAGAGTGCAAAAAGTAGAAATTCGGGTTTTGAGAGAACGGAGTATCCGAATTGAATATTCAAAAAACATGCAATTTATAATAATTGGGAGAAGTTGTGTTCAGTTTTTGGCAAGGGCAAGTTTAGCCATCTTAGAGATACCAAGCTAATTGTACAAACAATGGCAGTTTCTGAGAGAACTAAATTACAACAAAAACTAAATTAAATTAAATTGTCTACGCAATTTGGGCTCCCTCGGTAGGAGTGCCAACCTGCCAACCCCATGCGTGTGTTACCCTAATATTTGATGTCTGGAACATTATATAGCAACTGGCAACACTATTTTAAACATTCAGATATCAGCGTATCGGCATTTTCGCGTTTTTGACATTTTATAAATAATTGATTAATATGTGGATGTCAATTAGTGATTTATTGTAAATATTGTATATATACTTAATACAAAATGTGGCACGAAGCCCGGAGACAGGAAAAGAAGATACGGGGTATGCTCGTTGATTATCAGCGACGTGCTGAAAGGAGAAGAGATTTCTTTGAAACTATCGTAAGTTAAATATAATTTGAGAAATATTCGGTAATTCATGCCGAACTTTAAACTATTTTTATAAAATGAAACTGAAAGTTCAATTAATAATTTACAGAAAGCAGATCCTACACAATTTCTGCAGATTCATGGGAGACAATGCAAAATCCATTTAGACCCGGCTGTTGCAATTGCTGGAGATAGTCCTGCTAATATGTATGGCATAACGTTTTTTCATAACTAAATTAAACATATCAATTTCATTTAAACAACCAACTTTCGACTTTATAATGTATTTATGGAGATGATACATTTATAAACTCTAATACTAATAGTTTTTCACAACGATAATATCATAGGAGTGAAATTTTTGCAGAAGTATTAACATTAACATTAAGTATTGACATTTTGAATCAAAATTGATTGACTGTTATCATTTAAAATCAAATTTGATTAAGTTTAGTGTTATAATATCATTTTACTATTTTTAAGTAAATATATTCATAAAAAGTTGGTTAAAACTTATTTCTTTTGCACATACAGCCCTATAAATTTACACCCATATTGTATATGTAAATATATTATGAATATAATCTATTTTTTTTGTTCTATAAAAAATACATGTGTAAATTTAACATAATTTTTGGTTTAGGATGCCATGGCAGAATAATTTAGACAACATGATTGATCGTTTTGATGTTCGTGCACATTTGGATTATATTCCTGATACCATTCCTTGTTATAAAGAAGATTTAACACCTGAAGAAAGGCACTGTAATTATGAGAGTTATCGGATATTGGCTCAGAATACATTTCTTGGTAATTTCTTTTTATTTTTATACTGCAATATTTAATTATTTATTGGTATTCTCATAACCTTAATGCTTATTAAATTGTTAAAAAATACTTGCAATATATAAATACTAATCTTCATGAAACAAACTATTTATATTTAAAAATAATTAAAATTAACTAAATATAAATAAGTTTATAGTAAATAAATTAAATAATAAATGAATAAATAATAAAATAGTTAAGTTATAATAAATTTTTTAAATATTGACATGAGCCTTATTATAATTTCATCATACTGACGGCTTGCAAAATTGATAAATAAATAAAACCTATAAATATACAACAAACTATTAAGGAACATCACTCATCCAATTTAAAAAAGTCTAGATTAATACAGTTGGTGATAAAAGTAACTAAACAATAATATTTATTTAATAGTTTTTAATATAATATTAATGCTTATTTTGTATTCAATATTGAATATGAATTAGATACTTTTTGGCTTTGCCTCTTTCTTAAGAATTTTAATAAAAAAAAATTATATCTATTTTTCATAATACTGGACTTTCAGGTAAACAGACATGAATTTTTTTAATTCATTAAAGTTTATGTAATTCTTTGATTACTTTTTACAGGAATTCGGGAAGAAAAGTTTTTGCAGCAGTTGGCTTATGAAGAGCAATTTGGAATAACCCCTGAAGAATCGAATAAAAAAAAGAAAAGTAGCAGCAATACTGGAGCAGCTATTGGATATAACTATGAGAATACTGAAGGTATATTTATAAGTTGTTTTTTATAAATTGAAAATGTAGGTGATATTTCAAGAACAATTAAATCATTGGTTATGTTTTGTTCTCAGTCATACCTGGAAAGTCTGAAAAAACTGATAAAGATGGAAATTCGGATAGTTCAGATTCTGAAGTGGAAATTGATATGGATGTTAGTATTGATATCACAAAAGTGGGATTAGCTCAGGTAACTAGAAATAATTTACATATTAATTATTCAATATTAGATCTAATTTAAACATTAAAATTTGTGAGTGTTTTCAACTACGCTAACTTTGTAAAAAAATATAACATTTTGCATGTCATTTGATAATGATGTAAATTTAATATTAACATTGAATAATCATGATGTTATGATATCGTAAATGTGATACAGTGATTAAGAGGTGAATATAATAATTCTGAGCCCCATGTGATGTTAGAATGATAATTGTAGTTTTTTATCATATTAGTTCTATTGCATCTAGAAGGAAATAAAATTATAAATAATGAAATGCTATTAATATTAATTATCTACTTAATATTTTATAGGCAAATGAAATGAATATTGCGGCACAAGCATATGGAATGGCAGATAATGACTTTTATTCATTTTTGACTAAAGATGCTGATGAAGCCGAATCTTTAAGAATAGCTAGAGAGGAGGAACAGGAAAAGGCTATGTACAGTGGCAGGAAAAGTAGACGAGAAAGGCGTCAGCATAAGTATGATATACTATTTATTTCTATGTATGATTTTTTGTCTCTTTAATTGTATTCTACGTGAGTATAACTATATATCTGGATTTTGTTGTTGTAAGTTATGATATTACTCTGCTTCAAAGAGGAGTTATATATATTATGTATATGTATGTGTGTATACATATTAGGGTGGTCCTTAAAATGGTCATTTTCGAATTTCCTTGCTCCCAGGGGCTCAAATGGTTCCAAATAGATAAAAAACAATTCTCTGAAAGTTTTAGCTCTTAATATTAACATTCAGATAAAGCGCAATTTAATTAAAGTTTTGTATGAAAAAATTTTCAAAAATTTAAAAATGTTTTTTTACATGTAATTTAGCGAACAAATGAATGATTAAAACTCATTCATTTATCGCTAAGTTATACCTAAAACTATTTTTTTAAATTTTCAAAATTTTTTTCATGCTCTTTCCATACAAACTTTAAACAATAAAAACATTTTCCTTCAATAAAACTGTTTTTAATTACTGAATGGTTGCCCAAGAAACAATTTTATCATATTATTTCACCATCTGAAGAAAAACCTCTCGCTTTATATATATTAAAAATGTTTCTTATGTGCACATTATCCCTTTCTTGACTGAACCTGAAGAAAATATTTCTAATAAATAGGGAAAAGCGACTCCTAGACCATCATTTCACATCATTCAGTTTTGCTGTTGAAAAAGCCCCAGAGGAAGGTCCAAAAGTAGAAAAATCTGTATCCCGATCACCATCACCATCTTCATTGGGTCAAATAACATATATAACTTCTTTTGGAGGGGAAGAAGAAACAGGAAAACAAATTTCAAATAAAAGTTCTGGAAGTATTTTAGAGAAAGGAAGCACCAGTAGTTTAAGAAAAAAATCTACATATGCTGATAAATTAAAGAGTAGTTCCGTTCGAAGGCGCCGAAGTAGGAGTAGATCTCGAAGAGGGACTAGGTCAAGTAGGTCAAGATCAAGAAGTCGATCACGTAATGGACATAGGCGAAGCAGGTTTGTGAATAAATCAATATGCATAATTGAGTTATATTACATTTCATGAATTTGTTAGATTTGGTGTTATCAATCAATAGCAAATATTTTAGTTTATTGCATATTATGCCTTCATTTTTTAGTTAATATATATTTTTATAGTTTTTGATTATAGTTTTCAAATCATATTTAGGTCATATTCTAAACCACGCAGTTATAGACAACGATCTCGTTCCCCATATTCATCACATAGAAGACGTAGATCGAGAACAAGATCGCGGTCAAAAACTCGTTCTAGCCGCTACCATAATTCCAACCGTTCTCTCAAATTGAGTAGTAGGAGACGTTCTAGGTCGAGATCAAGAAGATCGAGATCCAGAAAAAGGTATGTAAAAGTAAAGGCCTATTTTTTTAAATTTCTTTATATTTAAGATCTAAGTATATATAATAATTAATGATATATTTACTACTGATTAATATTGATATACAGTTTCTCAATAGCTTTATTTTTTAGTCAACTTTATTCTGCAATTTGCTTATATTACAACCTTAAACAGATACTGCTGACAAATATGATGAAATAATGTTGATTACAAATTTATATTCATGTGCAATACAATGTTTTGCAGATCTAGATCTCGTTCTACCTACTCTGACTCTTCAAGCAGCTCTAGATCTTCCCACAAGAGCCTGACAAAGAAACTATCCCCAACTGTTTCTAAAGATAATGACAATGATAATTCGAAAGACAATTCAAGTGCAAATGATGTACATTCACCTGTGGCTGGACCACCAATAAAAAAATATTATGGAAGGAAAAAGGGCGATGAGAGTTCTTCTGAACTGAGTTTATCAGATAGTGATGATAGTGACAATAGGACAAGAGAAAATCCTGATATGTGAGTATGATCATTTTTTTTTTATTATACTATAAATGTCAATAATAAATTATGCTTTGTATTAAGGAAAACATTGTTTAAGGGGGTTGTTCTTTTTTTATTTTTCTTCGTTTTGGTTTTGAAATTTTTTGATATTATGAAAGCTAAAAACCTTAGAATTATTTAAAAAAAAATCATCTCAATATATATTTTTTTGACGAAGTTATAGATATATTTATCTCCATATGTATGATCCTCTGAAAGCGTTTTTTTATCGCTCCGCGAGCTATTGTATGCCAGCTGCCTCTTTTTCATTATAATACCTCATGCACATGACCTTTTTAATGTGTCAGCATCTTTGAATACCATGGTGTATTTAGTACATTAAATTAAATGGTGTATTTAGTACATTATATTAAAAACTTTAAATACGTTTTTCTCAAATTGACTTTTTTCAATGCGGTGCCACAAATTAAAAAAAAACTACAAGTCGGATCGACTTGCATTTTTTTTAATTTGTTCACCACTGCAATACCTAGTCCCCCTACCTCAAACAACTTGATAACATTACGCAAAAAAATTTTGCGAAGCTTCTCGCCCCCAAAAAAAGGCCTTTTTTGATACTTGTTTTTTCAAATAGCTGCCATATTCTCCCTGCTTGCTTTTTTTCTTTAATTTTGGTAGGGGGACTGGATTCAAACTTCTTCTTCAACGTAGTTTTTTTTTTTTTTTGTTTTGGGCGATGCGCAACGGTTTTATCTGTGGCACCGCAAAAGAGATCGATTTTGCAAGACCGACTTTGGCGCCCCCTGGTTAAAAAATGACGGCACAAAAAAAAAGAAGATAATCACGTAATATTCTATGACTTTGTAATTTTTGTTTAATAAAAACCGCATGTCTCTATGATAAATACATTTCGAGAAAAACGAAAACAAATATCTTGCATTTTTTGTAACAAAAAAAGAACAACCCCCTTAAGAAAAAAAAAAACTAAAAATTGATATACAATATTATCAATTACAATTATTTTATTTTATTTACAGACATACAAATAGCAATGCTTCAACAGATGTTCAATCTTTAACAAACAACAGTTCTGGCACTCCAGCTCAATCAACATCTAGCAGCCTATTGATAGCAAACCCGATCATAAGCAGTACCAATACTGGTACAAGCACTAGCGTATCGGGTTTGTTTGGTAAAACTAAACCTAATGCGATCAACAAAGCCGCCAACAAAGTCAGTAAGAATCTTATTTTATTGCCAAATGTGACAAAACAATACATCGTCATTTTCAATTTCATTTTAACTTATTCTTCATCTTATTAGTCTAATATTCATGGCAGTCAGCATATGCAAATATTAAAATACTTTGAACAAACTTTCTTGAAATGTTATTAATTTCAATTTTCCGTAATCTTGTTTAAATGCTTAAATGACTGTTTCTATTAAAATCTAATGTAAAATCCAATATTTAAACAGCCTGTGCTCATCTATAAGAATTTCGCTGTAAGTGCGGCGTCGTTTTTATATTGTTAATTGTTTTGGTTTTTATTTTGTATTTCATTCTGAATCTTTTACATGTAAAGTGGCACCCCGACATACGAGTTTAATTTGTTCCGTAACCACATTGAAATGCCATTAATTTGTTCAGGCACTGTGGTTTCTGTTAGATATTTTGAACTGTTGCAACTTTTTTGAGGTGATTTTGTAGATAATTTAGAGCTCAGAAAGCTGGAGTACACCCTTCATCAACTCCTATTTACACACAGTACATATCTCTGATGTGTTATCCTCGTACATCCTTGGCAGTAGGGAATGCAATACCGATAGAAAATTTCAATACCGGTATTTCGGTAATTTTTCATTTTAAAACCGGAATACCGGTAAATTACCGGTATTTTTATTATCTTCAACAAACGTAAACAAAATTGAAAGTTACTAGTACAAATATAAAAAAAAATTATATACAACTACAACTATATTCAACTAAACAATAAAATAAAACAATAAATTTATTTTTTTAAATAATAATTTAACAAAAGTATATGCAATTTAATTAATTCATTATCACTATCAAGTATATTGAGTACTTTTCACCAAAAACAAACTTATTAGTAAGAAAGACCAAAAACTCATAAAAGATCATATTACATTATTATAATAAACTGTATTGTCTGTATCCGATGTGTTAAATTAGCATAATCTCCAATATTTAAAAAAAATAATTTTTCTACACTATTTTAAGATCGGATACTTTGTCGAGATAAATAATAAGTTACTATAATTGTTGAGTATTGTTATTTAAAACAATGTGATGCTTCTATAGTATTTTCAAACTTCGAAACGTTGTCGAAAAATAATATTTTATATTTGTAATAAAAAGCAAAAATATTTAGTAATGATCATAATTATTATGTATAAATTTAGAAAAAAATAAAGATTACGCAGTATGATATAAAATATGTTGGCACAAATATCACTTAAAAAGCCGTTACATATTTACAAAAGATGAAACAAACAGAATTATCTATCAGTCCTATTCTATTTATTGTAACACGATATGAAGCCCTTTGGAAAGCAATAAATATTCAGATTAATGATGAGTTGAGATAATATTTAACATATGTTTATCTTATAGAAGCACGTGAAGATATAGCTGTTTATGTGATTATGGAATTTAAAGATAAATTTGTTCCGAGAAATTTAAACATTAGGGTATTATGTATCAAATAGCGCTTATGTAAAATTACCGAAAATACCGGTATTTTTGGAATAAATACCGGTAAAAATACCGCCGTAAAATCGGGCGGTTTACCGGTAATTCGGTATACCGGTATTGCATTCCCTACTTGGCAGTGTACAGTACAGTACAATACAGTACAAAGTTTTGTTTTTATCCATTATTAAACAAGTAAATAATATTTTGCAAATTTATAAAAAGCAAAAAACGCGAACTCAACGTATATAACAGTACATGCATCATTAATGTACAGTCTAAATTTTAATCGTTATTGTACAATTAATATTAATATATAATTGAAATAACTAACTTAAATTATTATATTTTAATTTTGCCATTAACGTTTTTATAGAAAACTCTTGAAGGCTCAAAGCTTGTATCTCGAATTTTGCTTGTATATTGAAACAGTCGTAAGTCGGGTTTATGTTGGGTCATCACTGTAATATTTATATTCATTAATTATATCATTAATTTTTTATCAGGTTGCTGCATAACCATTATGAAAATATTTAGCAATACATTTTAATTAAAAGATCACATATTCTAAATTAGAGACTTAAAGTATTTTAATTGAACTTAAAATTCGTGCCGTGATAATGAATGTTATGATTAATTGAATTATACAATAGCACAGCACTTTTTTTTTTATTATTGTGCTATAATGTGAATGGTAATAATCATTACAAACATTGAAGTGCTAATTTTTCTACAAAACACAGAACAAAGTTAATTTCATTGCACTCTTGGATGTATATAAAGTCCTATTTTATGTTCATCAATCGTTATCACCAAATTATGCGTTATTGTATAAAATGTGGATGCATTTTTTTATTTATTTTTAGTGTTCCAGCATTTATGATTCAAATGTATTTATGATTAAATAGTATAGTAAGTAAAATAATACAAATATTGGAATCATTATAATCAAAGTTTAGATATTTAACTAATTAATTTTTTTTATTCATTATTAGTTTCTCTTTCTAGAGATTAGTAAAGATTTGAGATTTTTTTAGTAGGAATTTTGAAAATTACTTCACAAACTCTATTTGAAGTGGACCCTTTTGTGGCACACTGCCGTATAGTATACTCAGTACACTATATACCGCTATTAACTAAATTATTCATTATTTAATTCTAAACTAGCGTTATATTAGTTTTGTTCTATATTATAAAAAACATTTATATTCTTTTTATGATTTTAATGTATATCATTTTAGCAGACCAGTTCAGGTGGCGGAATTTTGAACATTCAAGAGCGCCTTAAAAGGAAAATGCAGGCGCAGTTGGCACGAACATGTACGTTTTGTAAAAATGTCTTAATTTTAGTGTCTATGAATTTGCAATATATTGATTTGTTTTTATTTTTAATTTTTTCCTAACTAGTGAAAGCTGATAAAAAGGCAGAAATAGAGCGTAATGAAAGAGTTTTACAACAACAAATTGAAAGAGATGAAGAAATGAGAGAGATGGCTATAAAAATTAGACGCAGGTTTGTTAATCCTAATATATTTTACTCAGTTCATATCAATTTGGTTGTCTAAATAGTTAACGTTGAATATGCATGGTCATTCAATACTATTATCGGTTTACAAATCTGATTTGTAATATTCAGTTATGTGTTATCATCTTTTTATTCAAATTCTTTGAGCAAAAGGATATCTCTTAGAAACTTTGTAATCATAAATAACAGTTAGAGTAATAACATCACTTTTTTTATTTTGTTTGGAAAAATCATCCATATTGATGGTTTTCTGACGCAACCTCGTATCTCAAAAACTACTACTTTTCAAGAAAGACAAAAAACGTTTTATAATGAATTTTTAAACCTTTTTTACTTTTTTTTAATTTTGAGAATATTTTATCTTGTGATAATTATTTAAGACAAATATAATATTACAAACAATAAATCACTATTTATTCATTAATTTTTTAAGATGCTTGACACAGAGTAAAAAATGTAACAACTTTTTTTGAACTCTCAGACTCTACTTATGAGTACACCCGTAGGGTAAGATATTGTAATGGGCCGAAAATCGAAATTCAAAATTTTTACATTTCTCGTCGTTTTGAAGGTTTCGGAACGTTTTGGCATACCTCAGAAAAAATGGATGTGTGTGTGTGTGTATGTATGTATGTATGGATACAAATTTCCAGTCACGTTTTCGGACGCACGGATCAACCGATTTGAATGGTTCAAAAAACATTCGATTCCAATTGATAGGGAAAAGAGCTGATTAGTTTTTGGCAAAGGCAGGTCCAGCCGTTTCGGAAATACGGAGCAAAGAGTGCAGAAAATAGAAATCGACTTTTTGAGAGAACGGAGTATCCGATTTGAATGATCTAAAAACATTCAATTAGTAATGATTTGGGAGAAGTGTTTATTAGTTTTTGGCAAAGACAGGCCCAGCCATTTCGAAGATACGGAGCTAAATATGTAAAAAATGGCAGTTTTTGAGAGAACTAAGCGTCCGATTTGAATGATTTAAAGAACTTTCTGCTTGTCTTAACAAAATAATTGATTTTGGAAAAAAAAATTTTTGTTTCAATTTTTTTTTTTTTTTTAATTTTTTATGTATCGAAAATAATTCAGATTTTATTTTTAATTCTGACTATAGTTCTAATATACTTTAAACAAATAATTTCAACTTTGCAATTCAGTTTATATAATTCTTATGAATATTAGACAATGTTACAATATTTATAATAATTTATTTGAAAACATTCAGTATTCCTCGAACATTTCGTTACGGTACGGGAAGTTCCAGCAATTTGCCTTAAGGCACGATGCCACCCACCCCACTAGTTCATTAATTTTTTAAGATACTTGACGCCAAGTAAAAAATGTAACAACTTTTCTTGAACTTTCAGCCTCTACTTATGAGTACACCATTATTTTGTTCAATTATTTTATTTTGGAACTGATCAACTTTTCAAATATGAAAAAGTAAATAAACAAAAATTGATCAAGCGGAATTGGATGGGAGGAACTTACCTGATATTTCTAGGAATTATATGAACTAATTTCCAAGGTTAAAATCATTCATTTGAAGTATATAAGAGAGTTTTAAAATTGTGCTTTAAAAAATCAAGTAACGAGGTTGCGTCAGAAAACCATCGATATATAAAAGTTACAGAATTTTGAATGATAGCCTACATGGATAATGTTTTGTGGTGTTAAAACACATGCAGGTTTTATGAAATATCGTTTAACATGAAATTTATGTCGATCGCAATCATCTGTTTCAGGCAAAGAGCGATTCGTCACCGTTACAATAGCGATCAATCTTCACATTCCTCAGATGAATCTAGAAGTCAATCTCGTTCTAAATCACGATCGCGGTCTGCATCTCCTCAACCTGTAACAAATGAACTTCCGAGAGCTTCATATAGTGATGTAGTTACTAGATGTCACAATGATTTGAATGAATCAATTTCTCAAGGTAGTAAAAAATATTCAGCACGTGAAGATCGCTATGAAGACTCAAAGACTTATAAGGATGAGGAAAACTATAAAGATAGTAAATCTCATAGAGATGATTATAGATCTAATAGAGATGAATCAAAATCTTATCGAGATGATTCAAGATCCTATCGTGATGACTTCAGGTCTCATCGAGATGAAGCAAGATCCTCATATCGAGATGATTCAAGATATAGCCGAAGAAATGATGATTATAGCGGAAGCAGTAGTAGTAGCAAGAAGAAACGCAGTGACGATAGTGATAATGGCCAAAACAGAGGTTCAAAAGTTAAGCCCTTAGTTGATTATTAAAACAACTTTATTTTTTATGTGATGAAAATTACTTGTAATACAAATATAAACTGTGTATATAACGGTACAAATTTATTATGCATATTTTCTGTTATAAGAATGTATGTGATGTAGATATGTAAATGTTAAACTATAAAGTTGAATTTTTATTGTGAGCATATCCTGAAATGAATCAGGCTTTAGTTGACATTATTTTTGAGATTTTTCTTCCAACTGCTTAAAATATTGTCCTCCAATTTTTATTATTACTTTTTTATGGGTTTTCAAACATTAATGCTCTAAGGAAAGATAATGCAGGGGACTAAAACTTCTAAGAAACACATTGCTGAAAAATTAATATATGTAAGCCAAGAAACAAGTATGAATTTTAAACACTTCTTATGCCTCATACAGGTAATTATTACTGTCAAACCCTAAATGACGATTGTAATGAAATTCGTAGTGTAAAAATATTTTGAGCTCATTTGAGTATCAGATAATAGTCTAATAAACTCTGCAGACAGACTGATGGTTGACAATATTCCAAAAACCTTTTTCAAGCAAAATAAGTCAATAGTTACATTTGTATGATGCGCTCAATACCTTGCCGATATATATATATATATATATATATATATATATATTTTTTTTACTAAATAGAAGTATTTTACAAAATTTGATTTGTAACATTGCCATTAATTTAACACAGACAAATTTCGATTCTTACCGTAAAATTTTCGCCTAAAAATTTTTTTTTGTTCGCATAATTAATTGTGTTCCATCGCGAATGGTTGTGAAGAACTTTATATAAAAAAAATCCTTTGTGTAAGAGCAATCAATACACTCATAAAACAATTAGCTGTTGCAAATTCGTTGAGAATATATTATTACGAAATACCATGAGGATATGTGTTCCTTAGTATTTCATTAAGTATTATAATAAGTAAATTACTGACTAGCGTAAGTGCAATGATTAATTATTAATTGTTCTTATCTTAGTAATAAAACGAAACATTCTGTTAGAAAAACGACCAATATCCCGCTTTTATTTTTTTTTTATTGACTATTAAAATGTGTCTAATACATATATCTAATATAGTTCATTTTTTTGTTGAAAGTAATATAGTTCATTTTTATGCTGAATATTGGGTACTTAGAATTACTATGTCTTTGATTCATAACTTATATTTAAATGTGGCAGAAACTATTCGAACTCATATTCAATGTGGTAAATAAACTTGTATATTTCATAGAATTATTTAAATATGTAAATGTTGGAAATAAATTTTACTTAAATGCATGGTCGTCTACTTACATATTTTATATTCTTACTTTTATTTAAACTTTTTGACCGCGAATTGCAGAGGAAATTTTCTGTAACTTTGTTACGCAGCTGATGATTAGTCAACGAAATTTATTGGTAAATTTGTTGGTATTTTCTATTTCAATTCCGGCTCCCGAACCGCTAACCATATATCAAATATAATTTTTTAAACAATATAAGTATTTTCAAAAATTTAAAGCTTTTTTAAAAAAAAGCCTTTTCTAAAAATTATATTTTTTTCTACTAATAAAGTTCCAGCATTAAAGCACGATGTCATGCGCTACTAGTTTTGTTTCTAATTTATGCCAATCTAATCAATTATCAAATCTAATCTTCTCAATGGACAAACTTGACATGGCGGTAAACAATTAAAGAGAGATTGATCATCCTGACCTGTGAAAATTCTGTAGTTGAGAAAAATTACGCTTGCCAGTAAGTTGCCAGACTCACTGCAAAATTTGAACTAGGTTGATTTCAAATACTGCCTTTATCCTAAAGATATGCTACCATATATTAAAATGTTATTTTCTGATTTCAGATTACTGCAGGGGTCACAAAAAGTTCTATTGAGTTTAGAGATCTTCATGAACTAATATACTATTTTGGGGCAACTCACAGCCTGGTAATAGATATGCCACGCCAGATCGTGAAGACTTGGTGATGTGTTATATAAGGTAACATATTAATAAATTAATAAGGCAAGTTGCTGAAACTTCCCGTACCAAAAATTATTATTTTTTTAAGATTGACATTTTTGAAAAAAATTTACTCTGAAAAATTATATTTTTGAGTAACTATAAATTTTTGACAAAAGTTTACTTTTTTTGAAAAAAAGACCTTTTGAAGAAAAGTGTATTTTGAAATATTTTGGAAATTTTGAACTTTTTTTCAGAGCGATCGTACTGCTTTAACTGCATAGAGCCGAAATATCGAAGCGGATAAGCGCCTCGCCGCCGTCTAACGGATAAGTATTGGTACGGAACCCATAGGAATGTAAACAAAATTTATACTTATTGTTAAAATCTCTATAAAATATCTGATAATTTGATGTGCATATGTCTAATGATCATTTTTGACCGCCAGATGGCATTTTTTTCACTTTTTTTTTCTAGATCTTCGAAACCGCTAACCCTGCCTTTATGAAAATTTGATCAGTTCTTTATCTAGTTAATACAAGCAAAATGTTTTTAAAAATATTCAAATCGGACGCTCCGTTCTCTTAAAAACTGAGTTACCGTTTTTGGCACTTTTTGCGCCATATCTTCGGACCTGCCTTTGCCAAAAACTAATCAGCACGTCTCCTTATCAATACGAATCGAATGTTTCTTGAATTATTCAAATCGCTTCATCCGTGTTCCCGAAATTGTCGACGAAAATTTGTATCCCAACACACATACATCCATTTTTTCTAAGGTATGCCAAATTATTCAGAAACCTGTGAAACGTAAAGATATATAAAAATTTTCATTTTAGATTTTTTTGTGATTACTATAACTTACCCTATGGGAAGTTAATTACATTGTTTGTGTGTTACATATATTCGGAACACATTAAAGAAGTATTTTCTTCATAATACAGTTTCAAGGAAAAATGAATTTTATTTTTTATTTAATTGCTTGTTATCATTTTATTGCATCATAATTATATAATGTGGTATACACCCAGTAAACATGCGATATGGCCACAACATCGTGGCAATATTTTATTTAGGTCGTGTGACATGCGGTTCCCATATTCATTTTCCTCGATATTTAATGGATACGGCCGCAAATTTATGTAACTATCGAACAACTATCGAGGTTCGGTCTCTGGCGCACGTGGCGTTCGTGATACATGAAAATCGACGTTGACCCACATATGTTTGTTTATTATGATAAGACCGTCTGACGTAAGGCGTTCACCCCAGTCATGACGTCATTGGCGAATGAAAACGATTCGGTCATGACGTCATACAAAATGGCGACTCAGTTATGACGTAGTAGCACCTGAAAGTGATGACGTAATGCAATTAATATTCTTTTCTGTACGAATAAGCATTTATTTACGTGAATAATAAGAAATTTTACAATATTTAAATATTACAAATTAGAATTGTAGTTTTGAAATTATAAAATTTTAACATGAACTATACTAGAAAACTTTTTACAAATTATTCAATCTTAACATATTAATAACAGTATATTTAATGAAAATTGTTGTATATCTAATGAACGTAATTCTATTTTTGGGGCGTGAAGTGTGAAGTGTTGCATAAGTATTCTATCGCCACTTCCTTATACATCAAACAGCCTGCCTATTTTTCATTATTTCATTCTATCGCCAGTTCATTGCATCAAATGCCAGGATACAGATTATGCACATATGACATACTGCCCCAAATTTTGGAAGTTTTCTAAAACAAATTCAAACATAATGTGATTTACTGTATATAATATAATATATATATATACAGCTACCATATGTGTAGCTACCTACATGTTCAGTGTACAAATCTCCATCATCTTAAAGTCGCTTTTACACATACATTTTTAACACTGACTGATTTCATTCTATCGCCAGTTCAATACATCAAATGCGAGGATACAGGATATTCATATATGATGTACTTCTTGGAAGTTTTCTAAAACAATTTGAAACATAATGTGTTTTATTGAATCTAATAATATATATACCACTCCATATGTGTAGCAACTTACATATTCAGGAGACAAATCTAAATCGTCTTCGAGTCGCTTTTGCAGATACATTTTTTTAACCTGATTGAATTCATTATATCTTCAGTTCATTATACATCAATACATCAATCAAGTTCATGCATATATGACATACTGTTCCCAATTTTAGAGGTTTTCTAAAACAATTATAAATATAATGTATTTGTTACCAAATAATATATATACAGCAACTATATATGAATCAACTTACATATTAAGAAGATAAATCTCCATTATCTTCAAGTTGCTCCTAAACATACATTATTTGAGCCTGTCTAAAGATCTGTATATTGTTCATCGTTTCATTCCAATTTTGTACGACTTCTGAAATAAATATGAACATGGCATACGTGTTTGCTGTTTATATATATTTGTATAGCTATTATATTTGTAGTGACTTACATATTCAAACAATCATTCTCGATCCGCTTCTCAACCGACTAATTTAAGAGATTTAAGAAGTGAGGTTATGTCGAACACATGGATATGTTAATGTCTTAATTTAGTAAAATAATTATTTTAACCTTGATAAACGATCCTTATTATTGTCCTCAGATTTTGTAAGATATGCTATTTGGTTACCTCCTTTGTCATCTAAAGAAATCGACATAAAATAACGTTTCTTCATCCCAGGATATAATGCACTAAATGGAATTCAAAATCGTGAAGTAATTACATATCTATATAAATAATATATGATATACTTACAGTGTCATTTTTCTACACTTTTCTACAATTATCATAAACAAGTTGCTTAACTAAACGAATGTAATTATTATACTAAAGAAAATATAACTTGATGCATGATAAATTCGTGACATTTTGCGCCATTTTGTACGCGGTTAGCTTTCGTCAAAGAAACAGTCGGTTCCACCAGTGGCCACGGCGCGCTGATGTAAAGCTTTCTTTGTATGGTCACACACACCGGCACACAACCGTTTGCTTCGCGCCGTGTGACGTCATTGATTATGCTTTGCATGTGTGCTAACACACACCAGCGCACGACATGTATCTCACATGAAATTCAAGGATGTCATTACCCCCGACAGCGCGTGTTTATGTCTCGTGAGACAACTCAATGCGAGCTTTGCGTGTATTGTAACACACACAAGCGCACGCAAGTTTAAAATCCTCTTGTGGCGTAGATTCGATAACCGCATTATAATAACGATGTCGATATTATAGAAGATCACATCGCGTGTTTACTGGGCACTCTAATAAGACAAACACGTAAATTCGTAAATAAAATAAAATTCGTAATTGGTAAATTTTGTAAGTTTTTACAAGAATAATTTTATGTACTGCAGTTACACATGTTTTATGGCATTCAGGGGATTTAAATAAGTTTTATAAAAGTATTACAAATATATATTACTATTAATATTTGATTTAAATAAGGCATAATATACTATAGCTTATCCATATTGTCTCTGATTAGAGATTCTAAAGAATTATATCTATGGATTTATTTATTATTTAACATACCCAACGTATACTTATATTTTATTTGTATAATTAGTGGATATTTAATCACCATTGCGATTAACTTATTAGAATAATATATAAATCCTTCAAAGGCACTTTATTTCGAAAAGTATTTGATTTTGCAACTAATTTCTAATCACTATTTATTTCATCCCCTTCTAGAGCAGCAATTTCCTGCTCGCGTTTTGCGGCAGCGGCGGCATCACCGTGTGGAGATGTAACTGTATGATGCCGCCACTTCATTCTTCTATTTTGAAACCATACTTTCACTTGTGCATCAGTAAGACCCAGAGTGGCGGCAAGTTGCCGCCTATCGGGTTTCGTAATATATTTTTGTATTTGAAATCGTCGCTCGAGACCTTTTCGCTGCAGATTACTGAATACTGCTCGGGACCAGGAACGTTTCCTTTTCGCTGAAAAATAGACAATAGAATAGAAAAATATTGACTATTGATTAAATAATTTATTTGGGAAAAATTGTGCGAGAGTCAATTTTTTCTACAGTAATATTATGAAGAAGCTCTTAACATATACATAATAAGTAAATCTTATTCTCATCGAAACTTTTGCACAGATACTACAAAAAACTTAATGTTACTACTAAATATTAAAAGCAGTTTATTTTCAATTCTAGTGTCATAATTTTTAAATATTTGATTTTAATTTGCAGTGTTCTTTTTATTCTGACGAATTTCATTACCTGATGAACTTTGATGACCCGGCGAGGATGGTGAATTTGATCTATTTTGATTGGAAATGGAATCATGTGAATGTGCAGGTGGGTATCTAATAACTGTAATAAAAAGAAAATACATTTTTCATGTATCATCATAATGCTCATGAGAATGGACATATTTATGTTTGCAAATCAATACTATGTTAATATAAATATATCTAATTTTTTTTAACATTTTATCAGATTTTTTTTCAACATTATCTGAATGTTGAAAATAAAAGCATATTATCAATATAAATATCCAGAAATTTATATTATCGTAGTAATATACAAATTATCGAACTATTTGTTTATAAAAATGATTTCGTCTATCATATCATCAAGGAAACTTTTTAATGAAATACCAAACTTAAAATGTTATGATCATAAATTAAATTTACGTAATCAAATTAGCTCGAATTGAACGATCGATTATAAACTAAAAAATTCACTTTAATTTGATTTTATGAGATTTTCTTGGAAACACGCGGCCTATTGTATACAAAATAAAACCACGAAAAACTAAAATAAAACAGAAGTATTTATACTGAAAGTTTATTAGGTAAACATACTCTTCTTTTGTATAAATAGTTAAATGAAATTTGACTATTGCATGCATAAAATTAATGATAGAAAATATATGGGTTTAAGTAATTATAAAGAGTTACGTAAATCCTTTTTGTAGTTAATTACAGCATTGGGTATTTATTGCATCATTTACATTCAAAAGTTTGGTTATTTTTAATTTTTATCATTTTGATACGAAACATATTACTATTAGTTATTCTGGACGATTTATTGTAGAGAGATTATTAGAATTTAATTTGTCTTGAATACTAAGAAAAGTTTCAAAAATATAATGAAGTCATTTACGTAAAAGAAAAAATCATAAATGATATGACAAAAATTCATTATCAATTAATTTATTTATATTATGTATTATAAGTATATTTATACTGTTTAATAAGCTAAATATGACGCTTTTAGTGCTGGATAAACAGATTTTTTATGGGTTTAGCTACTTTAGTAATATAAGTTTTTACTTGGAATTATAAATCTAAAATAGGATTACAATTTAAAATAGCCATCGCATTTTGAAAAATCTAATTATAGTTTCATCAGGAAGAGAATGGTCAACAATTTGGTTGCCTTCTAATAACACTTACAATTAGTTAAGGAAATACAATTTCAGTTCATAGAACAAAGAATTTATGGCTCAATTTTAGTTTCATAAATAGTTTTTTTTTTGTTTGTGTACTCAACTACTTGCTATTAATATACTAGCTTATTTATTTTTATTTTATTATATATTATAATATACTATCTTATCTCCGTAGGGTAAGTTCTAGTAATGGGCCAAAAATTGAAAATGAAAATTTTCGCATATCATCACGTTTCAAAGGTTTCTGAACATTTTAACATATCTCAAAAATAATGGATGTGTGTGTGTGCGTGTGTGTTTTGAGTGTCCGCATTTCTTAGTCCACGTTTTCGGGCGCACGGATCACCCGATTTGAATGGTTAAAAAAATATTCGATTCCTATTGATATAAAGATGTGCTGATTAGTTTTTGGCAAAGGCAGGTCCAGATACGGAGCAAAGAGTGCAGAAAATAGGAATCGAGTTTTTGAGAGAACGGAGTATCCGATTTGAATGATCCAAAAAATATTAAATTTGTATTGGTAGTGTGAAGTGGAAACTTTATGCTTGTGTTGACATAACAATTTTTTTTAGACAAAAAAAATCAAAAAAAAATTATTTTTGTATATCGAAAATAATTCAGATTTTAATTTTAATTCTGGCTAAAGTTCTTAAGATCACTTATATACTTTAAATAATTTCAACTTTGTAAGTCAGTTTACATAATTCTTATAAATATTAGACAATGTTACATTATTCATAATAATCTATTTGAAAACATTCAATATTTCGTTACGGTACGGGAAGTTCCAGTAATTTGTCTTAAGGCACGACTCCACACACCACTAGTAGTTTTATTATTAAATGGCATTTGTGGATTAGACAAGTAAATGATACCTAATAATACTCAAAATTACCATAACATTTTACCGTTATTTTGGAATTGTATAATGTAATAATAATTTTGCAGAGAGAATTTGGATCAACATTTATTTATTTTGTGGCGCAAGTTTCGATAAATTTAATGCTTTGTTTGTTTTTGTATAGAAGTGGCTCATCGCCTGATTCGCGTCAGGTTTTGTAAATGTTTCGCCTGATTTATGTAAATTGATTGCTAATTAATAAATCTTGTTGAAAATTAACTGCCACATGCAATTGAATTTATGTGTACTGTGGGCGTATATTAATGGACTTTGCGTAAATTGCAGTTAATTTATCGAATTATTTATTGCGCTCGTCCACATAATATTTTATAATGTTCTTACATATAAAACATGCGAGCATTTACTGCTCATAAATATCTGCATTTAATTTCACCTTCTAGTAAAAAAGTAAAATTTTATTCGGACGTTTTTTTTTATTTATTTCCTTCAATATGAAAATTACTTAATATAAATTGCATTATTAACTTCTCGTAGGGTAAGCTATAGTAATCGCAAAAAAATCGAAAATGAAAATGTTTATATATCTTTATGTTTCAAGAGTTTCTGATCATTTTGGCATTCCTTAGAAAAAATTGATGTATGTGTGTGTAGTGTGCGGATACAATTTTTGGACACGATTTCGGCCGCGCGGATCTATCGATTTGATCTATTTCTTATCAGTTTTGTTTGAAAAAATATTCTATTCCTATTGATGAGAAGATGTTCTGATTAGTTTTTGGCGAAGACAGGCCTAGCCGTTTCGAAGATATTGGGCAAAAAGTGCCAAAAACGGTAATTCAGTCCCTGAGAGAACGGAGCGTCCGATTTGAATTATTCAAAAAAAACATTTTATTTGCTTTGACGAAACAAAGAATTGATCGAATTTTTGGGTAGGCAGGTCCTGCGTTTTCGGAGATACAGAGGAAAATGTAAAAAAAAAGATATTTGGCGGTCTAAAATGATCATTAGACATATGGACAGATTTTATAGAGATTTTAAACGTGAGTACTAATTTTGTTACAATTGTTTTGGGTTCCATACCAATTTTCGAACAAATGTCAAAATTTTCAGGTTTTTCTTTTTAAAAATGTGGAAGGTTGTATACTTTAAATGTAAATTTTGATTTAATTTTTTTTTTTAATGTATATATTTCATATGCGTTATTGCAATGGAAAGAAATATGTTCTCAGATGGATTCATTCACGGCATCTCTTCTTAATGTAAACATTTTCAAGTGTTTTGAGCGATAAGATAGTCACTGTATATTAGCTGTATGAATGCATGTATAGTAATAATAACTATCTCTTTGAAAATATTTAAAACAATTGTTAATAATCATTGATCAATATTTATTGATTAATAATTTTTTTGTCTGTATTTTTAATTCTGGTACGGGAAGTTTCAACAATTTACCTAAAGGCATGATGCCATGCATCACTAGTTTCTTTTTCTGCTATATAAGTAGTATCTGTAACTTTATAATTATTTATCATAAAACACTGAATGAGACCACATACTTCGAAATGCGATTGTAAATGATTATGACCTCAAACTTAAACTCAAAGTAAACAGCGGGTTTTATAAACAAACGATGAAAGCCCCTTCAATTGCTTGTTTCGGTTTCTTTTTGTTTCTTGAAAATATTCAACTAGATCAA